AGAGGGTCTTGAATTGTTGCCGTTTGAAGTGGTGTGTAGCTGACTGTCCCAGCAGCAGGTGATGGGGTTCAGGTTGTGTTCACTTCAGTAGAAAGGTTTGTCCTGCAGAAGGGGACAGCTCTGTGAAGGCAGCATTGCCCAGAGGCTGAGCTGGAGGACACTCCAGGCAGAGCCGCGGTATGGTGGCAGGAGTGGGGATGGCCCTGTGGGACAGCAGGCCGCTGCCCCATAGTTCCGGAGGGGGGCTGGCATGCACTGTCCTCGGACAGGCCGAGAGATCCCGTTCTGCGGGTGTGGCCAGCTGAGAGACTGTTGGAGTTCACGGTGAGCCTGGGGTGGCCGAAGCTTCCGGTGGGTGGCCCTGAGGAACTAGGACTTTGCCTCCTTTCCCACTTGTCCCTCCAGAGACGCGCTGTGAGCAAGATGGGCCTTTCCCGACGACCGCACCACCACCGCCTCCCCGCCCTTCACCATCCCCCACGCCAGAGAGCCCCTCCGTGCACAAGTACAATGTGAGCGGCGCCAACGGGACCTGCCTGCTGGCCAGCATGGGGCTACAGCTGAACGTCACCTACAGCAAGAGGGACAACACGGTAGGTTCGGCCCTGGGGACCCATCTCCGTGCATCAGGGCGCTGGTGCATGTGCACACCTCTCATAAATCTGAGAGAGCGGGTTGTGGGGCCTGTCTTGTAATCAGCTTCTTGGCGCACACAGCCAGGCTGCTGTCTTCTGTATGGCCCGTGTCATTGGGACTTGCTCTACTGGACGAGTTTATCGGCCCCTAAGAGAATGTTAAATTCTGCTTAAACTTTTACCACCGCAACTTTTGTGTTCATTGTTATGCTTTTCCTTTTTCCCTGCTGGTGATGGGGGCTGTGGGCTGTGACAGGGAAGGTGCTTGTGGTGGGAGTGTAATGTCCTCGTGAAAGTAGCAACCAGGAGGAGCAGGGAAGATGGTTCTGGAACCCAGAAGTCTGCACTTTGGGTGTTTTCCTCCTCCTGGTTTTGGTTAAAATGATAGAAGCCTTGACGTTCTCATTTTGAGGTCACTTTGGCTTTTCCAGAGCGTGGAGGACCCGAAATGGGGTGCGAAAAGGAACTTGGGTAACATGTCTGCTTTTCCTCCTCAGACCGTCAGCGGACTGTTCAGCATCGACCCAAGCAACACGAGCGCCACGGGGAGCTGTGGCGCCCAGCTGGTGACCCTGGATCTCCGGAGCAGCCGCATCCACTCCTTGCTCTTCCAGTTTGGAATGGTGAGGGTTCGTGCCCACGCCACCTCGCGCCACAGCCCGCATCTGGCCATGGCTTCCCGCCATCGGCTCCCGCACACTATGCCCCAGCCCCACGGAGAATCAGTGAAGGTGCCAGAACCCACAGCTTTGCCCCAGTGAGGACGACGGAGTCTGTTTTCCCCACCTGCCTCTTCCATCAGTGCTTTGGACCCTAAGTCCCCCATTTTCATTAAGGACACTCCGTTGGTTTTCTTTATGCAGCAGGTGTCAGGGGGCACCTGCAGCGTGCCCACCATCGCTGTCCATGCCCCACTGTGCTCAGCCCAGCCTCCGCCTCGGGCACTGCCCTCAGCCCTTCTTCCAGGGGTGACGTCCTGGGTCCTCTCTTCTTGTCCCCATCTGGGAAGCATAGAAACGCCCTCTGCCCATGTTTATGATGCTGCAGATTAACAGTCTGGTTTCTCCTGATAAAGTTTACATTAACGTTCTTAAAGTGCCAACGTTTGGAAAAAGTTTGAGTTTTTAGAACATGGCTCCTTCGGTCGCTATTTTAAGAGTCTGATTGTGTAAAAAGGTCTAGGAGGACAAGTCAGCATCTGTGTTCTCAGGATTTATGCGATGCCTTTTATTACAGACTGCGTGTTCCACGGCTTCTTGCTGAAGCTAGAACTGCAGGAGTCAGATTTACTACCAGATGATCCTTTAGGTTTGATGGTAAACATGTGAGTTTGGCAAGTGGTTAAGGATTATTTTCTTCTCTTTAAGGACCCAAATACTAGCCAGTTTTTCCTGCAAGGAATCCAGTTGAATATGACTGTCCCTGACGCCAGAGGTAAGGCCCCCACATCTCACCTGCCCGTGCAGGAGTCCCAGAGCACTCACTCTCAATGTGCCTTTGCAGACCCCACCTTCCAGGCGGACAACAGCTCTCTGAGGGCACTGCAGGCCACCATCGGGAATTCATACAAGTGTAACGCCGAGGAGCGCGTGGAGGTCACGGAGGCCTTTTCTGTCAATATATTCAAAGTGTGGGTCCAGGCTTTCCAGGTGCAAGGTGACAAGTTTGGGTCTGGTGAGTAGCATTGGGGGAGACTGCACGGGGTCTGCAGACTGCAGTTCTGTTTGGATATTTAATCATTTCTGGGTTGCAAGGACAGCTTATGGGGGTGGGGGTCCCCTTTCCCAGTCTCAGAGATTTTTAGAGCAAACTCCCTTTCCTGCATCACCTTGCCTTTGGAAGACCCAGCAGCTCACAGATGCGAACCCAAGGCGCCATTTGCTCAAAGGTAGTCGTTTCATGGGATGGTGCCTGTCCTCCCGAGCCGTGAAGGCAGGAGGTGGGGTGTTGTGTCCGGAGGGCCCGGAGGTCCTGACTGTGTCCAAGCAGTAATTGATTAGAACCGAGCCAGGCTGGGGGGAGGGGGGGGGGAAGCCCGTGTGAGGTCTCGTGGGGACCGTGGCCGCGAGCATGGCCCCCTGCCCCGTGTCTCCTAGTGGAGGAGTGCCAGCTGGATGAGAACAGCATGCTGATCCCCATTGCCGTGGGCGGCGCCCTGGCGGGGCTGGTCCTCATCGTCCTCATTGCCTACCTCATCGGCAGGAAGAGGAGCCACGCGGGCTACCAGACGATCTAGCAGGGCCGCGACAGCTCGGGCCGGCCGCCACCTCCGGGCCTCCGCTCGTCCCCTGAGCTTAGGTTGGCGTGGAGGGCGGCACGCTTTCTTGCAAACTGATTTTCAAATCTGCTTTATCCGATGTGAAGTTCATCTTGCAACATTTACTATGCACAAGAGTATTGAAATGACGGTGTTAATTTTGCTAACTGGGTTAAATATTTTGCTAATGGTTAAAACGTTAATATTTACCAAAGTAGAACTTTCAGGTGGGAGGGAGGAGTGCTTCCCTACATGGGCACTGGCTCCACTATTACTTGGCTCTTTAAGATTCTGCTGTTGGCTTCTCCGTTCCTGACTGAGGTTGAAGCCTCGCCAAGGTGAGGTGCTCCCTGGTCTTAGGGCTGAGGAGGGCTGGCTACTTGTTAGGCTTGTGCTTCAGAAGATCTAGAAACAGAAGTACTCCAAAAGGTGAAAATCTGGAACGCTTAAATGAAGCTTTAGAAGCCAGGACGGGCCCGGCCCCCGCGGCGCACAGCTCGGTACTAGGGCACCGGCGCCCCCACGGCATCGGGCCCTTCTGTCCTCTCCGCGCTCTGCCACTCAAGAGCTGGCACTTTTTTTAAATAGATAAATGGGTGTTATTTTTATTTACCTTTTTGTAAAGTGACTTTCAGTCTTCTGTTTGAGGTTCGGGGTGATCCTGTTCTGCACTCGTGTAAATACTGGGTGTCACGCTCTGCGCTACCCGCTTGCCGCTCGGGTGGCTGTGCACGGACGACCCTTCACGTCACGCGTTGCTGTAACAAATGCTAATAAAACATCTCTTTCTTTCTCTGTCTGGACTCTGTGCTTCTGTCCGCTCCCGCCAGAGGTCTCAGTGGGACACACGGTAGGCGGCAGGCGTCTGTCCCCCAGCGTTTGAGAGAGCTGGTGTCGTGGTAGGTCTTCTGGGTGGTAACTTGGAGGACTGACAGGAGTTGTGTCTGGAGGTAGGTCCTCAGTGGTGACCGAACAGCCCCCGCGAGTGGGAGGAGGGCCGTGGGGGCTCCCCTGTGGGCACCAACCTGGAGCCCTGTGGCCCCACTGCAAAGCACAGGCGGCCAGCAGGGTGCTCAGAGCTTTCAGAGCACGAGCTGGGCCTCAGGTTTATTGTCCTCTTTGCTTTTTAAGCAAAGACCTGTGCCTTTCGGGGATCTGTGCACCTTGCTGGTGAGGCTGAAGCCAGCCTGCCTGCCGGGAGCCCTGGGGCCCCGGGTGTCCCCGACACTCCCACCTGGAGCTGCCGGCCAAGGAGCGCGGCTTGGGGCCCCACGGCCGGTGTGTGTCCGGCCTCGCTGGGCAACCGCCACCCCCACACAAGTGACTCCACACTTGACTGCCCCGTGGGGGCAGCCTCGAGGACTCCCCAAGCGCTGGCAACCCGCCCATGCCACCACTTCCTCCTGATGAGAGCATCTGTGTGGGAAGTTCGGTCCCAGGCCGGCATCCTCTGGGACCATGGGGGAAGGGAGGCGCCTCCACGGCTGGGCTAGAAGTCGCCCAGGTACCTTGAGGAGTACCAGCCACTGCCCACGGTGTTCAACAGGTGACACTGTTCTAGGTCCCCACCTGCCCCATGCAGGGCTCAGCCTGCCCAGGCAGTGGGATTTCTCAGCAGCCAGCAGCAGCCCCACCGTCAGGGCCGGGAGACAGGGTCAGGGTTAGGAAGAGGGGGTCTCACTGGGGCTTCTCCCTCCAGGGATCCAGGGTGACAGTGGCTGCGTGAGCACTCGTGGGCCCAAGTCAGACTCTGCCATTCCCTAAAGCTTACACACCTCTGTCCGCTTTATGTAATAAAATAATTTCAAAAATCAGTTTTTAAAAATTACCTTTCTAAAGAGAAATCACGTGCTGTGTGCACAGACCTCACGTAGATGCGGTGGCACAGAAAGGAAGGGATTTGGCGTTAACACTAGTGACAGTTTGCAGGTTTGGTCTTCATTTTCAATCAGCTGGTGAGCTGATGGTCACAAACTCGGAGGTGTTCACGTGCTTTATTAAATATGCACATCTCACATTTTATAGGTCAAGATCTCAAGTAAAAATACATTTCTAGAAATCCATGACTTCATAGCCCATAATTGAGTTACAGAGGACATAATTTTAAATCGGTCTTGAAAAACATTCACAACGAAGTGTACAGACGTCAAGTACTTCTGGCACCGAACAGCAGGAAACGTCAGCTCTGGAAATGAAGCCTCGGGGGTGACAGCGGACAGGGGTCCTGGTCAGCCCTGCGCCAGCAGCCTGGCCCTGCAGCTCTCGCGAAGCCTGGTGATGGTGGCCATGGACAAGCTCCCGGGCTCTGAAAATATTTTCTGGAACACCAAGGGAATTTGTTTAAAAAACCAGCGACAGGTGTTCAGCTCAGTGGCCCCCCCATACCCCTGCTACTGCCCCAAGGGAAGGGCTTGCACGGCCCCTTCTCCTGCGGCCCTGAGCTGTAGCTAAGGGGTCCTGTGGCAGCTCCGAGGCCAGTCAGGGCCCTTGGTGAGTGGCCGGAGTGTGGGAAGCCGGTGGAGCCTCAGACTGTTGTCTGCTGAGAACAGGCTTCGCACTGAGAAAGACGTCCCCCGGGGGTTGGGGGGGGGGGTAGTATATGCGATCACATCTCTCCTGCATACTAATAATTTAACGATCACTTCTACAGTTACTGCTGAGAAATTCACGGTTTACAAACCAGGCCAGATGTGAGGCTGGCAGTAAAAAGGTTTTGTTTTCTTTTGAAGAAATTAGAGGAATTCTTCCACAGGTACGTGTTACACAGCACCTAGGCCAGGGCAGAGTGTTTATGGTCCTGAAGGGGGAATCAGTCAAGTCCTGTGAGCCCTGCTTACTCTCCAGAAAATTCTAGATGTTCTTGTGCGGGACTCTCTCTAGAGGGCGCATGGGCTGCAGGTACCGCGCCCCGGGGAAGAAACCCGTCCGTGTTCAACTTTGCAGAGATCACTGGGGAAGGTCCCCGTGCTGGCCACCTCCCCAGCAGCTCCCGTCAGGGCCATGACGCACAGTGCTTCCCTCGGGTGGCTCGCGGTACCGGCAGCCACTCGGCCCCCTGGGGTGCTTTAGAAACATTCGCACTGACTGAGCACCTACTGTGTGACTACCAGCGTGCGCGATGCCGGTCAGAACCAGACGGGGCCGAAAGCGTCACGCGGAGGGAAGGCAGCCAGACAGCGACACGCGGACTCGCTGGTGTACCTGACACATGCAGACAAGGCAAACCCGGATGGAAAGCAGACCGGTGGCTGCTGGGTAGGGGAGGGGCGGGCACTGGGTCCCTCGGGGGTGATGGCCGTATCACCAGACCTTGAGCCGCCCATGCGCTAACAGGGAACAGAAAACCCCGTGTCACCCAGGAGGAGCCACCAGCAGCTGCAGCCCAGACGGGGTAGGTGGGGCCTTGTCCAAATCCCAGGCTCACGACCCTGCCCTCTGCCCTCTCTGGACGAGGCATTGTGTCATGTGGGACGGGCTCCAAAGAGCTGCAGGCTTCTGACGGTCTCCAGCCGGTCACCACCTCTGTTGAGGCTGCTGAGCATGGCCAGTCCACCCGTCTGCCCGCCACTCGGAGAGCGCGTGTGGCCCCGGCGACTGGTCATCCCGTGGCCTGGAGTCCGGCTAGACTAGGACCCCTCATTCCCCGTGCCCCAGGGCAGAGGCCCTGGCCTCTCCGCGCCTCTACCCAGGCCGCTCCCAAAGCCACCCCGCTCCGCGCTCCCACGTCCCCGCAGTGGGAGAAAGCCCTAGTGGTGCACTCTGGCCAGCATCCTGATTCCAGGGCAGTCTGCCGTCAGATCACCCGATTGTCCCCTGATGGCAGAGCCGGGGGCTTGCTACCTCCCGGGAGGTCGGGGGGAACAACCGGGCCACCTGCCTGCACTGATGGCTGGTTCAGATGCCGAGCAGAACCTGAAATCGGCCTCCCCCGGCCTCCGCAGAAGGCCTGTTGGTACGGCTCCTGCTCCGTTCGCTCAGCACACCAGAGTCATCTACACAGCCTGCACGAGGTCCAGGACCCAGCACGGAGGCCCTGGCATCGGGGAGCTGCCCTTTGGGGCAGGACACACAACAGACACATGCGACCCCACTGGGGCCACGGAGAGCCATCTGGGACCAAAGACGCTGGCTACAGGGGAAGGGGTCAGATGGGTCTGCATTCCGACCCAGTGAACCTGGACCAGCCTGATGGGGGTCCCAGCAGGGGGGAGGCGAGGCCCAGAGGGGACACAGGGACAGGCAGGCTGGGGACGCCAGCACGCCTGGCCAGGCCGCTGCACCGGGAGCAGAGCCCCGACACTCACCTGCATGAAGGTGTGGCACTCGGTCACAAAGCTACCTCTGGTGATCTCCTTGAACCGCTCGCAGGTGTCCGCCACACTGCTGGCTTCCAAAATAAAGGCCTGGTGGTGCTTGATCAGGGTCAGGGCCACCCGGAAGAGAATCTTCGAGCCTTCGCTGAACAGACAGTCCCAGATCCGGAGCACCGTCTGCGGACAAACAGAAATGGCGCGTCACCAGCTGGGGGCTCACAGGGCCCTGGTCCCCGCGAGGCACATGCCGCGCTCACCTCCACGGGCAGGACGTCCACGAACAGGCAGATGAACCAGCGTGACACGACCAGGGTCCACAGGACGCCGTGCCTGTCCATCAGGGCCGCCACTGCTGGCAGCTTGGTCCTCACCAGCTCCCCCAGGACCTCCTGGTCTGTCTTCAGGCCCAGCATGGCAGGGCTGTAGTAATCTGCCACAGGAGGAGAGCAGGGCTGTGGCTGAGCGCCCTTCCCAGCAGAGGAGAGGGCGGCTCCCAAAGCGAGGCCGCGCTGTGCACCGGTGAGAATCCGCCGGCAGGAAGCGTTTGCACGGCTGCGCTCATGGCGCCGAGAGGGGGGACACAAGCAAGTGTCCACTCGGGCAAAGGGACAAAAGTGTGCCATGTACGCGGGCGGAACTGTCCTCAGCCCCACAAGCAAGGGTGAGCCCCCAGGACGAGGTGCGCGGACCAAAGCCAGATGCTGGACTGGTGCGGCTGAGATCCCTGCAGCCACCACACCCACAGGACGTAGGACCGTGGGCCCCAGGGCTGGGGGTGCGGAGCTTCGGTCTGGGAAGATGAGAAAGCTCTGGGGACGGGCTCGTCAGTGTGAGCACACTGGTGCCCTCGCTGAGGGCCGGCCGGCAGCATGGACACGCCATCTGACTAAGCAGGGGCCGCGGGACACAGGAGCAGGTGCGGGGACAGTGCTGACAGTGACCTGCACAGGACGGGGCCCTTGCTCTCGGAATCAGTCCCGCGTCCTCTCCCCACACTGGAGGGTCAAGTTCCTGGCATTCTAGAAGGGGCTGGACATTCCCACCCCTCTGACTGCAGGAGGACAGAGGCAGCCAGAGGCTTGGGCTGTCCTGTTCATCACAATGAGACCCAATAGCTTAAGTTGGAGAAATGCCTTAACCAAGTTCATGGCCTGGGGGCCCCAAACCATAGGAGCACAGAAAGCACAGCCCACCAAGGTGACTTCACGGCCGCTCCACTCCTCCCGCCACAGGCCTGGGCACCGGCTGGCAGCTGGCGGTCCCCACTGGCTGGGACCACGCACTTGGACAGACAGCACGACGCTGCCCGTAGTGTGTCTTCTCCGAACGCATGTGTCCTCCCAGAGAACTTTTTTGCTCATTAAAGGCACGTATTATAGACTTTAATGCTTAGTTTTTGCTGTTAAAGTGGTCTCTCAAAAATGAATAAAACGTTAAAAAATTTAAAAACAGAACACCAAGGATTTTACAAGTTTTTCCTGTTCATACCCTCATTTTGCATCTATCATCTCTTCTTAAATTGGGCAACATCCTGGCCCCCCCAGGAGATAGAGCAAGGAGCCTCTGCAGTCTGTTCAGAGTGTCCTGCAAGCGACCCAGTTCTCCAAGTGACGCCCTGGGGCAGCCGGGGTTAAGCCTTCAGGCGGTAAGAGGGTTTGCTGAGCTCCCAGCAAGGTGGCCTCACTCCTGGCCCGAGAGGCTTACAGCACCTTCCAAAAATAGACCCGACCAGCTCACACCCTGACTGCCCCGGGGCCTGGGGGTCACCAGGGCAGGAACCCCGAGACCTGACCTCCTCACCCTCCTGGCCGCGTCCGGCCCTGACGCCGAAGGCAGATGGAGCCCGGAGCCCGGGGCCCGCTCCTCTGGGCCGTCTGAGCAGAAGCACACCTCCGGGCCAGCATTCGGCTAAGCACAGGACGAGGAGCCTCCTCAGTAGGCCTGGCGGGGGCCTCGCCTCGGGGACGGCAGCCTTCTGCAAACAGCGCCCTGGCCACGTCAGCACATTGGAGGGCTGAGCCGGGCTGGGGCACAGATTTAGAACCAGCCCATCTTACTGCTGCCAGAGCTGGGATCCAAGGGGGTGCCATCTAATTCCAAAACCGATGCTCTCCAGCCCCCCAAAGGCAAAAGCACGCCCCACGGGCAAAGGGCACAGGCGGTGAGATACGGCCCGCAGGTAGGGTGACCCCCTGGGACAAGGTCGTCAAGAGGACACGGGAGACACACGGCAGCTCCAGCGGTGTTCACACCTTTGCTCTGCTTCCCAGGGCCCCTGAGTCTCCCCGACGGAAGGTGCTTTGGTCCTCCCTTGGACCACCTTCTGTCTTGAGCTGTGTTTGGAGGGGAAACAGGTCACACCAGCTTGTCAGGACGCCAGGGTGTTAATTCACTGGGCTCTGCTTGATGCGACATCCCAGACGGCGCTCCCGCTCCGTTCCTGAAGCCCGATGGCACCGTCAGCCGGGACCTCACCGGCATCTCTGCAGGCCCAGGAGGCCTGTTCCCTCGTCCTTTCCCTGGATGCCTTGGTCCGAATGGTGACTGCTCAGGACAGCGGCCTGACCCGAGAGAGGCCGCCCGGCAGGCTGGGTGGAGGAAGGGCGGGGTCTGCACGTGGAGGCCAAGTTCAGGGCGTGCACACACCGTGTACTGGTGCTCCAGAACACGACTTCCCTCCCACGTCAGCTGTTCTGAAACAGGGGCGGCTCTGCTGGCCTAGTCACAGGTGTCCCTGCACCTTCTCGCTCGTGGGAGACCTCAGCCGGTCTTCCCAACTCTCAGCCACACAGGCCTCCTATTATTTCCTACTGAGCCGCTCCTACCCAGAGCGGTAGGGACCCTTCACGCGTGAGCTGCGTGATCACAGACACCACCTCTTTTCTGCTTTCCTTGCAAGGTCTTATCTCAAAGTCAGTTTTTAATTTTAACGTAATGAAAATTATCAATCTTGTCTTCTATTTTTGGAATTTTGTTCAAGACCTACCTCCCTCCTCAGCAATCACGAGGCTGCTCTCACCTCATTTTCTGAGTGTCAAAGTTCCGCTTTTTCATGTGTCTTGAATCCACCTGGAGTAGGAATAGGGTTTTCCATGTACACAGGTGTCACAGAGGATGTTGCAAACGGCCATCTTTCCCTACTGATCGACATACCTCAAACCCCAAGTCCCCCAGATTCATAGGTCGGAAGACCAATCGATTTCTGCGCTCTCGCCTCTGGTCTCCATACCGTTTCCTTGTAATGGCAGGACAGGACGTTAAATCTCCAATATTCCTTCAGGCCTCCCTGGTTCCCTAGATAAACCCTACTCAGATAAAAGAACCACCCAGGTCCAAGCGGCTGATGTCACCGCAAGTGTGATTTGCACATGTGAGACCTTCTATGACATCTGTCTGTGTGACAGCCGCATGGCGCGAGCCCCACAATGTGAGCGGATGAGTGTGTCCTTTTCTGTTTTCTGAAAGATTTGTAAAGCGCGCAGAAATTCTCCACACCTTCAAGGTTCGATGACAGTATTGCCATTTCAGACGGTCCACTTTCTCCTAAATCAGCTTTGTTAGGCAGTATTTTTCTCAAAATTTTCCACTTGGCCTCTTTGTCTTACTTGTATTCTCTTGAGATTCTTAAAAACCTCTGAAGATTTTCAAATTCCAGCACCCTTTCCATTTCCACGTATCCGTCCTGCCGGGCTCTGTCTGTTGTGTTGGTTTTTCCAGAGAACCAGCCTTCGTCTCGGCTCGTCTTTCTGACTGCTTCTGTTCCGACTTACCAGTCCTGGAAGCCTGTGCCGCGGGGAGGCCGGCACGGCTCAGCGTGTGTGACCAGCGTGCCACCTCCCAGGCCCCCTGCTTCTGTGTGACGAGGAAAGAAACTAGGGAGCAGGATGCTGGTGCCGGGCCAGCCTGCTTCCAGTGACCCACAGCAGTGCCTCTGCCCCCTCAGTCCTGACTGCAGTGTCGTCCGACGGGACGTCGCGAGGATGGGAAAGGACATTTCAGGGGCTAACACACAAGCCTGTGCAGTTACCTGTCCTTCAGGGCCAGCCCAGAGCCCCTCTGTGACAATTTCAGGCTGTGCCGTGGCTGCTGCTGCCCCCTCCCGCCTGTGTCTTCATTCGCTGAAACTTCCCAAGCCCCAAAGCAACCCGGGGATGTGACAGGTCTCAGTGAGTATTTGTGGGAAGGAGCTGACTTGGTCACAGTACAAATACACATCGTGATTCAGTCTCCAGACGCAGCTCAGCCATCGCTCCATCTGGAAGGTCCCCTGACCAACCCCCCGCCCCGCCACTTCCTCGCCATTTCCCTGCACCTGCCGCTCAGGCCTCCCCAGGCAGAGCTGGGACAGTGAGATGTCACGCACATGGGGACGGTCTGTCCCTTGAAGGCGGCCTATCCAGGAGGGCTGCTGGCGTGTCCACTCTGTGCCATGGCGAACAGTGGCACTGGAGCGTGAGGAGGCCCCATTCCGTAATGGTGCCACTCTGATTCACTCTGGTTCACTCTTCCGTGAGGCACGTGCCAACATCTGACGGCCACGGGATCTAAGGCTCGAGGGTCCTCATCTGTAAAATGGATCAGTAGTTGGGCCCGTGTGGTACTGCTGTGCTGAGGCGAGACTCGGGACACGGAAACATGCTGTATGCTCCCAGGCAGAAATCACAGCCGACTCCTGCCGTGGTCACTGCGGGGTGCCCGGAGCTGGGGCCAGCTCTCCAGGGTGGTGAGGGCGGTTCCAGCCCGACTTGAGGGCACGCATCCTGGAGGGGAGAACCAGGGCTCACCTGCCCAGTGGTCACGAGAACTCCCCGGGCCGCACATGCCCTGTGTAGCTATGCCCGCCTCAGGCCAAGCACGAGGCTGGGTCTGGTCACCACCATCGTGGCTGTGGAGGGCACAGGTCTTCTCCCACCCAAGACGGCTCTGGCCACTTCTCTTCCCAAAGTGATCAGGGTCCACACTGCATTACCAAAACCGGTGCTATTTATTAATCAATGAATTAGAAAGAATGACTCTCATCCCAATAACAGTTACAGCTGACAACGACTCACTCTTAGGACTGTCCTGAACTCTACAGGAAGCCGAGTGGACCTCTCACTGATTCTGGGCCCTGCGAGCCTCCACACAACGGGGCAGCCTGGGGACCAAGCCCAGCACCCGACACAGACAGTTCACGCTAAATTGCAGAGCAGAGAGAGTGCAACCAGGGCCCAAACGGTCACAGGCGTGTTCAACCCACCAGGCAGTATTCTTCCCACGAGCGCGTCTAACAGCCAAAAGGATTTCTCTTCGCTCTTGGTTATGAGGACCAGGTAGCCTGCTATGAAGTTCATTCCCTGAAACAAGAAAACGGGTCCTGAGCCACCTCAAGCCACCTTCGGTGGCTATGACGCACTGCTCGTCCCTTGCTGTCCCCAAAACCACGCAATTCCAGAATGACCTTCTGGTGCAAGATCGAGATCTGCCCTCCAAGTGACACACACAGCACAAGAAGGCAGAAACACAAATCTGTGTGAAGAAGCTGTCGGGGTCACGGCCCTGGAGTCCACACTCAGACCCTCCTGGGGCTTCGGCCCCCCGACCACACCACTTGGACCCCCCTTGGGCCTCGCACCCCCCCCCCGCCCAACCACACAACTCAGACGCCCCCCCCGGGCCTCACCCACCCCAACCCCCGACCAACCACACCACTCAGACCCCCCTCAGGCCTCAGCACCCCTCCCACCCCTGACCACACCACTCGGACCCCCCTTGGGCCTCGCACCCCCCACCGCCCCGCCCTGACCACACCACTCAGACCCCCTCAGGTCTCAGCCCCCCACCCTGACCA